TAAGCAACCTTTATATTATTTTAAATAATTATTGATGGAGTTGAATTAAAAAAAAAATCATTCTTGCTCCAATGAATGTGGTATTTATTTTACAATGATGTTTTTCTTGTTTTTCATCACCTTTTGATACAGTAAAAATTCTTTGATTTCTTATATCAGTAGCTTTTTAAGTTGAAAGTAAATTTGGTTGGTATTTTGAGGGGTCAAAAGTTTAAAGTTTCTATTATTCTAAAAGGACGAGAATAATAAAAAAAAAAAATTAAGAGAAACTAATTAAAACTCATTTTTCACCAAATTGATTTGGTTTTATTTGTTTAACCCGAAATCTAATAACCATTGATACTTTAAATTAAATTAAATATTTATATGACAACTTCACATACTTCATGAACATTTTAAAATATTTTGATAAATTATTATGATTTTATATAATTTAATTAAAATTTAACACATCCATATGCCTAGCACTAGAACAATTAAACGTGTKYAYTTTTTCTTTTGTGTGTACCAACTTTTCATATTACGTACATCGTATACCTAATTATGTGTTATGTTGTTATGCGTATTTTAAGCTCGGCTTAAGATTATCCATAGCCGAGGTTTTAAGTAAACTGACGTCGAACACGATCTTTTAACTCACACTTCTTAACGAATTGCGGAAAAAAAATCCCCAGACGGCCCAGACTGCAATATTACTCACAACCTCWTGAAAATGATTGAACATATTTTTAAATATTAATTATTATCTATAATTAGCKCATTATTAATATTTAGTGATAACAGAATATAATATAAATAATTGTATTAATATTTTGTTTTATATTCCGATRACACCCCTACTCACAGTAAAAACATAGCATGTAAAAATATTTCGAACTATATTAATTTATTGAATGATATAATATAATAATATAGTATAATATAATATAATTTACGTATTTGTAATGAAATATTAATAATGTGGTAATTATAGATACTAATTAAGGTTTAAAAAATATTTGTGAATGAGGTTATGAGTRATATTGTAGTCTGGGGATTTTTTTTTCCGATTACCTTCTTAACTATATATACTATTATTATACATATATATATATTTGAATACAAATTATTTTTCTCAGATTAATCAAATTCGATTTCAGCAAATAAAAAACACTCTTTGTCATTTTGCAAACAAATAAGATAATATAATTTGTCACCCAAATGTCGCCGCTCATACCAGCCTGCTATRTTGGGCATATTATAGTATTATACTTAATTACGCCAAGTGATAAGTGATAACTGTATTTGTAAACTTTTTATCTTCTATTTCCACATTTCTTTTTAGAAAACCAAGAATTTTTGATGGACTTTCCTCGAGATTGATTTTCCTTCCATCCAATAAATAAATAAATTTTTGGTTGGCAACGACTCCTTTGGTCTCGCTGTATGATATAAGCGTCAAAGGTACAAAACTACAAAAATGATAGGGGAGAGTGGGGCAAGTTGACGATGTTAAGATTCAATTTTTTTTTTTAAATGTAAATATTTGAGGTGAAGATGTGAAATTTTGTACACACATTGTATAAAATATTTAGAATCATTAAAAAAATATATTATGATTTTATACTCAATGGTTTTTTAGAAGTTAATTGAGTTCTAAATTATTTTTTCAATTTCGTCATCTTGCCCCATGCTTGGGGTAAGTTGACTTTGTGCCGGGGCAACTTGACTATATCTATAAGAAATAAGTTTCATTACTTAAAGAGTTTTAATATTCATCAAACGACATATTATAATATATAAATCTAGTGGATGTATTATTTATACTGTTCTTAATAATTGTACAAAGTTAATAAGATAAGTTCTCAGTGCTAAACAAATAAGAATAACATAATACAATAGTGCCTATGTAGGTAAATAYATCTTTAATAAAATCAAAAACTTTTCATACATTAAAAATAAATGCATTGAGCAATTTAAAAACAGCTTGTTTTAGGCAATACCTATAGTCTTACCTATTTAATAAAACTGAAAATATTAA